CTCCGGTCTCCCAGCCTGTCCTGTCTGGGGCACTCACTCACAAGCTCAGTGAGTTTCGGCGTCTTTGGGCACACCTTACGGCTGCACCACGGAGCCAGCCCAGGACACAGTCTTTACCTCAGTCTGCCAGCAGCCCCCACCCTTCAGCACTGACACACTAGGGGGCACAGCCCTGGGAACACCTGCATTTCAGGCTTCCGGCCTCCAGAATTGTCAGAAGATACATTTCAGTTGGTTTTTTGTTCATTTTTCTTTCGTTTTTAATTTAACTTATTTATTTATTTATGTATTTTAATTTGACCAGATAGGGAGAGTGAGGGGTGGGGGGTAACGTGAGAAAGCAAGCCACCAGGTCCAGGACTCAAACCGTAGTCAGTCATGTGGGAGTCCAGTGCCCTTAACCACCATGCCCCCTGCTGGCCCCATTTCAGTTGTCTTACACTCCCCGGTTTGTGGTCGTTTGTGAGGACAGCCCCAGGAAACTTATACTGGGCCTCCTTTCCAGCGGGCCTGCTACTAGGTCATCTGAAAAGTCACGATGCTTGTTTGCATTGAGAAACAGAAAAATATATCATGATTTTTCTGACCCGCTATTTCTGAGGCCAGGGCCCCTTTGGTTCAGCCTCTCCTGGGAATAAGCCCCCATTCTGCTGCTGGGGGAGCAGGACACCAGGGAGCAGATCTGAAGTCCCCTAGAGACTTGTAACCAGTACTCCAGTCGGAAGTCTCACCTCCCCTTCTGTGCTCAGTGGTACCCGATATCTTTAGTACTTGAGATTTAGGCTCGGTGGCGTGGATCCTCTGGCTCCTTGTTGGCACTGGCCTTCCCTAACGCATGGGCTTAGGATTCCCCTTTCCATACTGTCAAATTCCATCACCACCTGTGTTAGCGTTCTCCAGAGAAACGTAACCAATAGAATATATATTATATTCAGTCATATGCCACATAGCAATGTTTTGGTCAAGAGCAAACTGTGCGGACCAGCAGTTAGCATAATGGCTATGTTGTTGAACTCCCATGTAGTCAACCGTGGTTCAAGTCCCGGACCCGGCAGCTTAAACTCATGCTGGGCGTGTGTGCGTGCGTGCCCAAGATCCCGAGAGGAGAATGGAGGAGAAGGGATTGTGGCGTGGCCATCCCCCCACCCCGGGGGGGTGATTTCTCGCTTTCTATCTCTCTGTCCCTCTGTGTCTTGGCTCTGGTGGTTTGAAAATCCAGGCATGTATGTCTAAAATCCCAACAAGATGAGAAACAGAAGAAAAGGAATTGCAGCGTGCCCATGTCCCATTCTCCCTCACTCTCTTCCTAGCTGTCTCTGGCAAATGCAGGCACTCTCTGGCAATTAAAAAAAAAATGTTGGGTCAGCAGGTGGCATGGTGGTTTAGGTGCTGGATCCCACTCAGCCAACTATGTGGTCTGAGACCCAGACCCAGTACCTTGAAAAACACACAGGGCACATATGCGTGCATGCCTAAAATCCTGAGAGGAGAATGAGGAAAGGGATTGCAGCTTGAATGTTGCCCCCTGCAGGGTGATTTCCCACTTTCTCTCTCTCTCTCCTCCCCCAAGATGAGCACACGTGCCCTACAGCAAAAAACTAAACAAAAAAAAAAGTCTAGAAAAATAGCCTGTACAATTATGTATAGTGCATAATTATGCACAATACTTGATCATGATAATGGTGTTGCTAGTTTGTGTGTTTACTATGCTATGATTTTTTGTTTTTTGGAGAGGTTTTTGGTATAGGGCGTGTGTGTTCATCAGAAACACAGAGAGAGACAGAGAGACAGAGAGCAAGAAAGAAATCATCCCCCAGTGGGGGTGGCCACCCCTTAATCCCTGCTCCTCTCGGGATCTTGGGCATGCACGGACACATGCCCAGTGTGAATTTAAGCCACTGGGTCTGGGACTCAAACCGCGGTGGACTACATGGGAGTCCAGTGACATAGCCATAACACCAACTGCTGGTCCCGCTATGCTATAATTTTATCTTTACTTTAGAGAGTGTTCCTTCTATTTATAAGAAAAAGTCTACCTTAAAACAGAATGTTGTGTCATTCCTGATGCAGCCTCATACATCTTACCACGTCTCTTGCGTGCATCGTTTTCTCCTGTGCTTGATTTAATCTCGTGTTCTTTTGTTCATCATGGCCCTTCCAGCAGAACAAAATGTGGAGGTGGAAGACAGTGATATTGATGATTCTGGTTCTGTGTAGGCTTAGGTCAATGTGTCTTAGTTTTTAATAAAAAGTTTCAGAAGTAAAATAATTTTAAATCATAAAAAGCTAATAGAATAAAGATATAGGGGCCAGCAAGTGGCATGGTGGTGAAGGTGCTGGACTCCCAATGGCCAACCATAGTTCGAGTCCCGGACCTGGCAGCTTGCCTTCTCACTTTCCCTCTCTGTCTTTCTCTGGTGAGTGCATGTGCTCTATAGCAAAAATTTGAAATAATAATAAAAATAAATAAAATGAAATAAGTACTTTTTGCAAAAAAGAATAGATATATAAATAAAATATTTTTGTACCGCTATTCAATGTGTTCATTTTAGTCATTTATTTTTGTTTGTTCACTATAGGACATGTGTGCTCATCAGAGAGAGACAGAGAGAGCCTTAACCATGATGCCACTTGCTGGCCCAACTTTTTTATTTATTATTATTTTTTAGGCTTTTTGCCATAGAGCGCATGTACTTGTGAGCGACGCAGAGGGGGAAGTGAGAAATCACTCCCCAGAGGGCATAGCCACACTGCAATACCTTCTCTATTTTCCTCCTGGATATTTTGGGCATGCATGCACACGTCCAGCATGTTTTTCCAAGCTACTGGGTCTGGGACTCAAACCGGCATTCAGGTATGTGGGATCCAGTCACCTTAAGCATCATGCCACCAGATGACCCCTTAAGAGGATATTTATTATGGGAGTTGACTCGTACAATTGTGGAGGCCAAGAAGTTCCACAATATGCCATCTGCAAGCTGGAAAACCAGGACTGCTCGTGGTTTAATTCAGGCCTGAGAGACTGGGGGAGCCACTGGTGTGGGTCCTGGGGCCTGAAGTTCCAAAACCCAGACCTCTATGTCTAAAAGCAGGAGAAGGTGGATGACTCAGTTCAAGAAGAGAGAGCAAATTTGCGTCCCCTGCATGTCTTTGTTCTATCTGGGCCCTCTGCAGATTTGATGATGAACACCCGTGTTGGTAAGGGGGGGATCTTCTTTACCAAGTCTACTAAAAATGCCAATCTTTTCCAGAAACGGTCTTACAAACACAGCCAGAAATAATATTTTATGAGCTATCTAAGCATCACTTAGACCAGACAAGTTAACACGTAAAATTAATTATCATACGACTCATCCACTGGATTTCCAACGTCCACAATTTTAATCTCTCATCTGTTACCCATTTTCTTCCATTCCTTCTTCTTGTGGGTTTTGGCCTTTACTTAAAACTATCTTCGTCATTTGGGGCTGGCAGGTGGTGTGGTGGTTAAGGGTGCTGGATTTGCACATGGCCAGCCACGGTTTGCGTCCTGGACTGGGCAATTTGCTTTCTCAGTTTCTTTCTCTCTCACTCTGTCCCTCTCTGGTCAAAATAAAATAAATTAATTAAATAAATAAAGTTAAGTGAAATGAAAAAAAATTACTCCTCACAATTGCTAAGACATGGAACCAACCTAAATGTCCACAAACTGATGAAAGGATTGGAAAAGTGTGGCACATATACTCTATGGAATACTACTCAGCCATAAAAAATAACAAGACCCTGGCATTTGATAGAAAGTGGTCAGATATGGAGGATCTATTGCTGAGTGAAGTAAGCCAGGCTACAAAAGAAAGATATTGTATGTATCCACTTAATATATACTGATTATCCACACTTTATGGTAGAGAACGAAATATTGGAGGACATAAAAGTAGTGAAAGTACTTAACGAGAATGAGGCAGTGGGGAATGGGGGGTGGTGAAGAGAAGAGGATAGAGAAAGATAGCATAATTATTGGGAAAAACATTGAAAAGATATTGAATGATGAAGTGGGGAGATTAATGTCTCTGTATTGACGGACATGCATGGCATTCCCTTCTGAAAAAGCAATGTAATACACTGTAAAGTTAAATGTAATCCAATGTAATATAAAGAAGATTATGATGATAATAAAAATAAAAAAATTTAAAAAAAAAGTCAGGCACTGTGGTGTTTGCATGTAGTCGCAGCTGTTTGGGAGACAACTTTGCAAGATCCCGTCTATTAAAATATCCAGGTGACATCGTGGGACTCGGTCTAAAAAAAACACACCCACATATGAATACATGCACAGAAATAGATACACACCAAACAAATTTAAAATAATTTATAAGGATAATTGCTTAAATTCAACACAAGTGTTCCAAGATAAAGTTGTACAAATCTATAAATTAGAACAAAAAGGTTGGGAAATGGGAGAAAAAAGAATTCAAAGATTAGTCAAAAAGATCCACCATATGACTAAGAGAAGTATGAGGAAAAGAAAGAAGAAGAAAACAAAACAAAACAAAACAAAACAAAAGACTATAGAGGGGGAAAATAAATGAAAAAATAACATAAAATTCTCTAGTACAAATAGGCATTCTTTTTTTTTAAAGAATTAGCTTATATAACTTTATTTATTTATTTATTTATTTATTTATTTATTTATTTATTTATGTTAATTTGACCAGAAAGATACAGAGAGAGAGAGAGAAAGTGAGAAAGCAAGCCACTAGGTCTGGGACTCGAACTGCAGTTGGCCACATGGAAGTCCAGCAGCCTTAACCACCACACCTCCTGCTGGCCCCCAAATAGGCATTCTTGAGATCATTCAGAACAATAAACAGAAAAATACTCCTACAAAGACACATTGCCATGAAATTTCAAAAGATCAGTGATAAAAAAAAATAATTAGTGTAATGGCTATGTTGCTGGACTCCCATGTAGTTGACCACGGTTCACATCCCGGACCCGGTGGCTTAAAACTCATGCCGGGCGCATGTGTGTGCATGCCCAATAGCAAAGAAAACCTCTCAAAAACAAACAAACAAACAAACAAACAAACAAAAAAACACCAAAGAGATTCCAGAGAGAGAAAATAAGTCACTTGCTAAGAAAAAGAAATAAGAATTGGGACCAGCAGTTGGCGTAATGGCTATGCTATTGGACTCCCATCCCCTCAGGGGGTGATCTGCTGCTTTCTGTCTCTTTCTGTCTTTTTTTGTTGTTGTTGTTGAGAGGTTTTCGCTATAGGGCATGTGTGCTCGCCAGACAGACAGAGACATAGAGACAGAAAGCGAGAAATCACCCCCCAGGGGGGATGGTCACACCGCAATCCCTTCTCCTCCGTTCTCCTCTCGAGATCTTGGGCATGCATGCACACATGCCCAGCGTGAGTTTTAAGCCACCTGGTCTAGGATGCAAACCGCGGTCCACTACGTAGGAGTCCAGCGACATAGCCATTACGCTAACTGCTGGTTCCCTCTTTGTGTCTTTTTGACTAGCGCACGCACCCTATAGCAAAAACCTTTCCAAAAAGGAAAAGAAAAAGAAGTAAGAATGGATTCAGACTTTCTTTCTTTCTTTTTTTTTAATCCATGAGAGTAGAAGCTACAAGATAATGAATCAATGTGTTCTAAATTTTACAGGACGTGTTATACTATCTAGAATTGTATGCAAAGCAAGACTATCAACCAAAAGACATTTTCAGACAGGCAAGATCTCAACAAGATCTTTTTTAATTTAATTTTATTTTATTTTATTTAGAGAGAGATTGTTATAGGGCACATGTGCTCGTAGGAGAGATAGAAAGCAGGAAATCACCTTGTGGGGAGGATGGCCACGCCACAAACCCTTCTCCTCCATAGTCCTCTCGGGATCTTGGGCACTCATATACATGAGACCAGTGTGAGTTTTAAGCTGCCGGGTCTGGGACTCAAACCACAAACGACTACATAGAAGTCCAGCAATGTGACCATTATGCCATCTGTTGTCCCCTCAACAAGATCTTCTATAGACCCTTTCTCAAATAGTTTCTAGAAAGTATGCTCCACTAATTGGAGAAAGTCAGTCAAGAAAGAAAATTTTCTGGACTAGGAGAGAAGGGAGGCAGCAGAGGAGAAATAAAGAGGGCATTTGTCTAATGAGTTTAAAGGGAACTCCCAGGATCAGACGGCAGCAGGCCCAGAGAAGCATCCATTCACATTGTGCAGGGGACAGAAGATTCCAGGAAAAATTTTATTAAAGAAAAAATGAAATGACTAGATTGCCTAATTTATTTAAAAGTATCAGAGAGAGGTCAGCAGGGGGTGTGATGGTTAAGGTGCTGGATTCCCACATGGCTGACTGTGTTCAAGTCCCAAAGCCAGGTGACTTGAAAAACACACCGGAGGGACCAGCAGTTAGCGTAATGGCTATGTCACTGGACTCCCATGTAGTCGACCATGGTTTGAGTCCCTGACCCGGTGGCTTAAACTCATGCCAGGCGCATGTGCATGTGTGCCCAAGATTCCGAGAGGAGACTGGAGGAAAAGGAATTGCGGCGTGGCCATCCCTCCTGAGGGGCGATTTTTCGCTTTCTGTCTCTCTGTCTTCCCGGTGAGCGCACACGCCCTATAGCAAAAACTGCTAAAAAAAAAAAAAAAGAAACAAAACAAAACACACACACACTGGACACATACACGTGCATGCCCCAAATCCTGAAAGGAAAATGGAGAAGGGATTGTGGCATGGCCATCCCTCCTGGGAGGTGATATCTCACTTTCTCTCTCTCTCTCTTGTGAGTGCATGTGCCCTATGCAAAAATCTAAAATCAAAACAAAACAAAAAACAGAATTTGAGTTGAATTAGTGATAAATACTGGGAAAACTGAGTAAATTTTGCTTTTTTTTTTTTTTAAAAAAAAAGAGGCAATAATTAATAAGTAATGCAGTTTTAAAATGTAATCAGCCAATCCACTATTTGGCTCATCCATGAAAAATATTTGCAAAATCATAATGATGTAAATATTGAATACTGATTTACTAAAAAGTGATAAAACAGTATTAGGGGAGAAAAAAAGGGTAGGATTAACACACTTACCTTTTCATCTTCCATAGTATGAAGTCAATAGTTAACATGTAAAACTAAAAAACAAATAGAAAAGCATTTTTTATTTAGAAATACAAAAGTAAATACTAGGGGAAAAAAAAATAAAGCAGTTACAACTTCAAAATAGCTGCCTCCCAGGAGCAAGACTGCAGGGAGAGACAGGTCAGGATGGAAATGGCTGTTTCATTGTAGGATAATATTTGACTTTTAGTGTTTGACTTTTTAATTAGGTGCTGGTGATGATTTACGAACATTAATTAATGACGTTAATATAATACTAATATGCTGACCAAGTGCAGAAATTTGTGAAACCTGTAACTTTAAAAAAAAATTTATTTTCTTTTATTTCTTCTATGGAAGAGAAAGAGAGGGGAGAGATGGGCAACCCCCAGTCTCAGCCAGCCGAGATCCCAGGCATGTGTGTGTGGCTGGCGTGTACAGGGAGACCTCAGGATGCAAACCCCGGCCTTCCCATGTGGGGCCAACCTTACTGAGCATAGCAGTCCCCCATGAAACTGCACTGCCCCACGCTTTCTAACTTCTGACTTCTGCTTCAAGCCTAACTCTTGGTTCTTTTTCTCTGCCAATTTCTAGGGGCACCCCAATACTCTTTTGTTCTATCCTCTTCCCATTTTCTTGTCTCCCCAGTCTTCTCTCCCCTGAAACCATGCGCCTCCAGACAGTAAGTCTCAGGAGCTGCCAGAGTGCCCCTCAACTCCTCCGTTAGTTCTGCCTCATCCACCTTGCCCTTCCTCCTCCCGGAGCTGGCCTGCAGTTTAAGGACTGAGTGGGCGTGAGAACTCGGTCCGCCTGCCTGCCGGGAGCCTAGACTCACCTGATCCTGTTTTTATTGAAAAGGTTGGTATTTGGTTCAACAGATTGACAGTTATGCTTGTTTGTTTGTTTTTTAGGTTTTTGTCACAGGGTGAGTGTGCTCACCAGAGAGAGACAGTGAAAGAGAAAGTGAGAAAGCACCCCTCAAGGGGGATGGCCACACTGCAATCCCTTCTCCTCCAGGAATTTTGGGCACACACGCACATACACCCGGCATGATTTTCAAGCCCCCAGATCTGGGACTTGAACTGTGGTCAGCCATGTGGGAGTCCACCTTAACCACCATGCCACCTGTTGGTCCCAGATTCATTTGTTATTGCTGCTGTTACAAATGACCACAAGCTTAGTGTCCTCGAACAACACGAATGTACTATTTTAAAGTTCTGTTCTGTGAGTCAGAGTCTGACACTGGTCTCTGCGCTGAATCAAGGTGAGAGTGGGACTCCACTGCTTTCAGGGGCCCTGGGGAGGTCCGCCGGCTGGCCTTTCCCAGTGCCTAGAGACTGCTCGTCTTCCTTGGCACGCAGCCCCTGCCACCTCCAGGGCCAGTCGGGCCTCTCACAGCACAGGCTCTGACTTGTCTCTGCCGCCACCTCCCCTCCAGCTCTGGCTCCGCTCCCGCTTCCATTGTTCGTTCTCTTCTTTCTCCCTCCCTCCCTCCCTCCCTCCCTTTCTTTCTTTCTTTCTTCTTAGGGCATGTACACTTGCCAGAGAAAGAGAGAGACAGAGACAGTAAGAGGGACGGTGAGAAATCCCCCCAGGGGTGATGGCCATGCCACAATCCCTTCTCCTCCATTCTCCTCCTGGAATGCTGGGCACGCACACACACACGCCCGGCATGATTTTCAAGCCACCAGATCCAGGACTCAAGTGGTGGTTGGCCATGTGGGAGTCTAGCAACGTAACCACTGCACCCTCTGCTGCCCCCCTCCCCTTCCACTGTTAAGGACCCTGTAATCACACTGGTCCGACCAGGGTAATCCAGGCTTGACTTGCTCTCTCTCTCTCTCTGTTTCCCAATTGTCAAAGGGCACTTGTCGTCACCAGAGACAGACAGAGAGAGGGAGGGAGAGAGACAGCCTCTCCACTAAGGCGCAGTGAGGCTGCAAATCCTTCCCCTCCATCCCTCCATCCTGTTAGGACTGGGCACATGTGCGCAGGCCCTCAGCATGTTTTCCAAGTCTCTGGGACTGGGATTTGAACTGTAGTGGGCCATGTGGGATCCAGCTGCCCTAACCACCAGGTCACGGAGCCAGCCTATTGGCTCCCTATCCTAAGGTCAGTTGATTAAAAGCTTAATTCTATTGACAGCCCTCATTCCCCTTTGCCACCATATTTTCACATACTCACAGGTTTTTCTCTTTTTTTGAAGAGACATTTTTGCTATAAGATGTCTGTGCTCACTGAAGAGACAGAGACAGAAAGTGAGAAATCATCTCCCGGGGGGATGGCCATGCCGCAATCCCTTTTCCTCCGTCTCCTCTTGGGATTTTGGCCACATGTGCACATGCGCCCAGCATGAATTTTAAGCCACCAGGTCCAGGACTTGAACCACAGGTGACTACATGGCAGCCCAGCCACATAACCATTACCCCATCTGCTGGTCCTGTATTCACAGGTTGGGAAATTAGGACATAGCTCTTTTGGGGGTGGGGAGAAGGGTATCATTCTGCCTCCCGGTCATGTATTTGTTTTACATTCATTCTGATTTAACTTTTTTTCATTACAATAATTATCTTATCGTAGTGAGGGTTTTGGCACTCCTCAAATTTTCATGCCTGACGTAAGCCATGTACGCTACTCTGAGACCTGGCTACATTTTCTCCTCGGCCCACCCCTTGCATCCCTCAGCCCAGTCCACGAGAGCATCCTGGGCCTCGGGCTGCCCAGGATCCAGCCAGGTTCTGCAGGCCCTTTCCCAACCACCGCTTCTCTGCTCCAGTTTGTGAGGTGCGGCTCAGGCTGCCGAGTCGAAGAGAGAAGTTGTTCCGTGTCTCCTGGGCCCAGGGCAGGGGGAGAGACGGCCAGACACACCTGATCCTCCCCCGGTGGCCCCAGAGATAGTTGCCTTTCAGGCTGGCAGCAAGAGAGAGGACTGGGGCTGGGGGTGCGCGCAAGGAGAGCTGAAAGAGGATCCTAGCGCTGCTGGAAGGTCAGGGCAGCCAGCAGGCGTCTGGGCCTCCGCAGGCTGGGAGGCTGGAAAGCTGACGCGGCTCCCACACTGGAGAGGCCCTGGGAGGGGGGGTCTAATTCCCAGCCATTCTAGCAATGTCACAAAGGAGACTGCTGGGGGCAGGGGAGTGGGCAGAGGGACACTGGGGAAGGGAAGTCAGTCCTGGAAGTTAGGGTTGTGAGGGGTGCGGAATGGCTAACTGCCCTCAGAGGGGGCCCGGGTGTGGGAGCTGGGGCCAGGCGGGCGGTAACTTACAGACCTCCAGGACCCTGCAAGCACTCCGCGTGGGGCCTTACTCTGGCACAGCATTTGACAGTCAGTGCCCAGAGCCCTCGAATGCTCTATCTGCCTCTCACCTCAACCCCAGGAGGAAGGCAGGGTAATCCCATTTCGCAGACAAGGATCTCCTCGCAGGGAGCACCAACGTTCATCACAGCTCCCATGGTCCTGACTTCTCAATTCCTCCTCTTGGACTCCCGGCATCTCTTCCAGGACGGGAAGGGAGGGTGCTGGAGGAAACCGGGCAACAGGTAAGGAACCCTGGGCCAGATAAGGAGCAGACCCCACCACACCGCCACCCTTCCCGACAGTCTGAGAATTGCCGTGCAGATGCCGAGCCAGCTCACCCTCCTCGAATCAGTGCACCATGCGGCTAGTGAAGGAACCAGAGCAGGAGCTAGCATGAGGCTTTAAGGGGGCCCAGTCCTGCGGCCCTCCGCCCACGGCTTGCCAGAGCTGCCTGGTCCCCTGCTGCCCACACATACCCCAGCAGTCAGATCCCTCCACCCCCTCTCTGGGGTGAAGGTCAGACCAGGTGCCTCCTCTCCTTACCCTCAGCCTCCCTCACAGCCCTGCTTCAGGGGCCCTCATCTTCCCAGAGATGGAGCTCCTATTCAGGCCTAAGGACCTCTGCTGAGGAAGATTTCAGAAGAGATGGCTTCTCTGATCCCACTCGCCCACTTCTTCCCCCATCCACCTCATTTTACAGAACCTAGGCTCCTGCCAGGCACACATGGGGACTTGACAAATATTAATTCACCTCTCTCTTCCTGCAGAGACCCCGGGAAGAATCTTCCCACTCGGAAGGTGCTGGGAGCAGGTCCAGGTATGCAGAGGCAGTGGGACCCTCCGGGCACTGCCCTCTGTACATGTCCAGCAGGTCGGGGGGAGGCAGGAAGATGGACAAGATGCCCTCTCCTGGTTCCCTTTGTGCCCTCAGAGGGCAGGTCCCCTAATCCCAGCCAGCTAGGTCCTCTGAACATACCAAACAGGAACCAAGGGTCCGTTGGCAGGTACATTTGCCACCAAGTCACCAGGAGTCACTAGCAGGTAGAGAGTGGGAGGAAAGGGACCAGCAATTAACATAATGGCTATGTCACTGGACTCCCACGTAGTCGACCGCAGTTTGAGTCCTGGACCCGGTGGCTTACACTCAAGCCAGGCCCATGTGTGTGCGTGCCTAAGATCCCGAGAGGAGAATGGAGGAGAAAGGATTGTGGGGGTGATTTCTTGCTTTCTGTCTCTCTGTCTCTCTCTGTCTTTCTGGCTAGCGCACATGCCCTATAGCAAAAATCTCTCCAAAAAAAAAAAAGAAAAAAAAATGAGAGTGAAAAGAAGCTGGTCACCTCCTATCCAGAGAGACAGGGGGGAGAGGGCAGGGAGGAAGAGGAGAGGAAGAAGGGAAACTCGCATACCATGAGGGAAGAGAAGAGAGGCTTGGCTTTGCCCTGAGCTGAGCAAGGAGCTTGGCACCATTGCCACCGGGCTGAAGTGGGGCGGTTTGCACCATGAACAGGGGTCTCTCTCAGCCGCCAGCTGCCCGAACCCCCCCACTTCCAGGGGAGACAGGTGGCCCAGGAAGGTGTCCAAGACAGCTGGTAACCTGAGACCTGAGAGACCAGAAGGTCCTGATCCCAGTCCACCACAGCCACACTGCTGACCTTCCCCTGGGCCCAGTCAGAGGCTCAGAACGCAAGCTGCCATTTATTACTCAAAGGAACTGAGTGGCCTACCCACGGCTAATCACAAATGGTTTGCATATTTTGCATATCATTTGCATTGTCCTGGGGGTCTGTCAAAACCTCTGCAGCCATTCCTTAGAGGCCCTTGCCCCTGTCTCCATCCCTCATCTCTCTCACCACCACTCCCATGTCCCAGCCCACAGAGCCCTCTTCCTGTCCTGCCCGCTCACCTGGGATCAGATAGGGCTGGACACATGCGGGACCTCTCTTCACCTTGAACCCCTTCCTCTCTGAGGGTGCAGCGGGGGACAGCTGGGGGACCTTGGATGAGGGTGGCTAGATCTGTCTGGTGATTAATCCTCCTGCTAATGGAGGCTTCTCTGCCACCAGGCTTTTAAGGAGACTCAGGGAAGCCCTTCAGAGCGGTCTCCGAGGTCCTTAGCGGGCTCATTAGCTGCCCTCCACCTCGCAATTAGCAGCCCCTCCTCCGAAGGCCGCGGGAGGGGCAGGGAACTGCCTGGGGTTCTAAGACCTAGGCCCAGAGCAGAACTACTGTGCCTTCACTGCCCGGCAGCGCCCCCCCCCCCGCGCCCCGCCTTGTGCCCACTCACCAAACCCTCTGCAAGGATTAAAACCATTCCTGCCTCTTTTCCCAAATACACATTTCAGCTGGAAAAGACTTGTCCTAGAGAAGGGAAGCAAGGTCAGAGAGGGCGGGAGCCGTGCCTGAGGCCACCCAGGCAGTGGGGCAAGCAAAATTACAGTGAGCTGCCCAGCCTCCCTGTCTCCTCTGCTTCCCCCTCTAGCAGGAGGAAAGGCAGCCCCGACTCCAAGGACGTGGGAAGGCAGGCAGGCTGACCCAGTTAGGACTGACCCCCAGGCCAGAGGCCAGTAGTAATGACCCCTGAGTTTCCTATCTGCCTAGGACACGGGTTCTTCAGAACACTGGGCCAGACCCAACTCGCTCTCAGGACTGGCTATAAAGCTTTGCCATCGCTCATGGCAGTTCAAGGTAAAGGAGGCGTCTCTGGGGGAGAAATCAGGTGCAGAGTGCAGCCATACTGTCCTAATAAAGAGCTGGGCTTGGAAGGGGCAGCAGTGTCCACCTGTTCCGCACATAGGAGCCCCCACCCTGAGCAGGACCCTCTGCCAGACACGTTTTCATTTTCTTTCTTTTTAAAAAATATTTATTTAATTCCATTTGTTATTATTTTTTAAAGAATTAGTTTATTTAACTTCCTTCCTTCCTTCCTTCCTTCCTTCCTTCCTTCCTTTCTTTCTCTCTTCCTTTCCTTCTCTTTTTCTTTCTTTCTTTCTTTCTTTCTTTCTTTCTTTCTTTCTTTCTTTCTTTTCCCAGAGAGGGATGGAGTGAGAGAAAGAAGAGAGAGAGAAAGGAAGTTGCCAGGTTCGGGACTCAAACCACAGTCAGCCATGTGGGAGTCTAGCGCCCTTAACTGTTTGACCAGATAGAGACAGAAAAAGAAAGAAAGGGAAAGCGAGAAAGCAAAGCACCAGGTCCGGGACTCAAACTGGGTTGGCTGTGTGGGCATCCAGTACCTTTAACCATCATGCCACCTGCCTGGCCCCTTCATTTTCTTTCTTTATTCCTTCATAGAGCACATGCATGAGCACGTGGGAGTGTACATGCATACGAGAGAGAGGAAGAGAGGTAGAAAGAAACTTCTGCAGGATCCAATCTCACCACAATCTCCTTCTTCCAGTCCTCCAGTCCACTGGGCCGTGGGAATGGGTGCACGTGGCCAGATTTTTTAGCCTGACCAGAGAGGGGATTCGAACCACAGTTGCCATGCGGGACCTGGCTTTTCTGAACAAGGCATTACTGCTGTGCCTCAGAGCTGGCCAGAAAGTGACCTGTTTTACTCTTAAGGAAATGACCCGTCAACATGGATGAATGATTTGGAACGAAACCTTTATAAAGTATTCCAGGACTCAGTTTTCCCATCTGTAAAATGGAAATCAGACCTGCTGTTCTAGGAAGCTAAAAGGCCACAGAGAATGGGTCTCAGGAAGCGGCCACGGATGATGGTGGAACTTTTGGTGAAATTCCACAGCATAGTTCCTGCCAGGGGAGTGTTCAGTAACTGGTCATCTGGACCATTATTATCTTGTGGCAGTTGCTATTGAGATGACTTTTTTTTTTTTTTTAAGAGATTTTTGCTATAGGGTGCGTGTACTCGCCAGACAGACAGAGAGACAGAAAGCAAGAAATCAGGGATTGGCCACGCCGCAATCCCTTCTCCTCCTTTCTCCTCTTGGGATCTTGGGCACGCACGCACATGCGCCCAGCGTGAGTTTAAGCCACCGGTTCCAGAACGCGAACTGCGGTCGACTACATGGGAGTCCAGTGACATAGCCATCATGCTAACTGCTGTTCCCAAGGTGACTTTTTGACCTCAGGGCCCTGGCTGGAATTTATACACAGCAACCTTCCTTTCTCAGCTCCCCACAGATTATGGAGTAGAAGCCTTGGCATTTATTAAACACCTATTTATCTAGCATATATTAAGACACAGTGTTGTACACTTTGCATGTGTTAGCTCATCTGATCCTCAGGGTTACCTAACATGAGGCAACACTAACGAGTTAATATCTTCTCCTCCTCCCCTTGGAGGTTTAGAGAAGTGCCCCAAACTGAAAACAACCTAGCCATCGATAAGAGAATGGTCGAATGAATTGTGGTATATCCATACCGTGAAGTACTCTATAGCAACAAAAAATCATGAATCACTACTATAAATAGCAACATGGACAACAAACAAAATGTTGAGCTAAGGAAGCCAGACACAAAAGGACGTATACTGCACAAGGCTGTTTATATGAAGCAAAACTAACCTGTGGCGATAGAAGCCAGAATACCTTACCGCAGGGTGGTAGGGCTAGGGTTGGCCTAGGCTGGGATCCTGGAGTGAAACGGACCTTCTGGAGGTGCTGGGAATGTTTTCTATCTGACCTAAGTGGTTGGTAATCATGCAAGACTGTGTATACATATGTCAGAACTCTTCAGGCTACGGGGCTGGCAGATGGTGTGGTGGTTGGGATGCTGGACTCCCATATGGCCAACTACAGTTCAAGTCCTAGACCTGGTGGCTTTCTTTCTCACTTTCCCTTTCTCTCTCTCTTTGTGTCTCTTTGATAAAAATTTAAAATAATAAATAAAATTAAATAAAAATAAATAATTCTAAAGAAAAAACTTATCAGTCTCTATCCTTAATATATTCCTTAATAAAAAAGAAAGTAAATAAATGTGTAGTACAGTTGACCCTTCATAACTGCGGGTTCTACATCCAAGGATGCAATCAACTGCAGAGTGAAAATATTTGAAAAAAAGACAATATAATAATAAAATTAATAAAAGTTAAAAGAATAATACAGTATAACAGCTATTTACATAGCACTTTTATTAGGCATTGAAAGTAATCTAGAGGTGATTTAAAGTATACAATAGGGTATGCGAAGGTTATATGCAAATACTATACCATTTTAATTTGCTGTAGGGTATGTGCTCTCTCCAGAGACAGAGAGAGAGA